AAATCCTTCCCCTAGGTTTTGGTGCACCCCAATTTTGCTGTAAATTCCTAATAAGATAGTTTTTTGTCGTTCTAACTCGTTATTCACCTGCGCAGTGATGCGGTACACGGGGTGTGATGCACTCTATTCGCGGCCATCTTTGGCTTTGAACTTGAAATCCTTCTGCCTCAGCTGGGATTACAGGTGTGTGCCACCACACCCAATTTGTTTTTGCCTTTTAAAAGTTACAATGAGGCAGGCCTAGTGTTGCATGCTTGTATAATCCCAGTGACTCAGGAGGCTGAGGCAGAAGAATCAAAAGTTTGAGACTTATTAAGGCCCTGAGCAACTTAGTAAGACCCTTTCTCAAAATAAAAAATAAAAAGGGCTGGGGATATAGCCTAGTGATAGAGTGCCTCTGGTTTAAATCCCCAGTACCAAAAAAGAAAAAGAAAAATACATATGAAAAATACTCTTCAAATGAGACAAACCGTTTATACATTGTCTTTATTTGATTTCCAACAGAATACATGTATGATGTGAGGAGGAAAAAAAAAAGTGTGTCACATTAGATTGGGTAGAGAGAAATGATGGAAGGGGAGGGGAGGGGAAGGGGGGATAGGAAGGGCAGCAGAATAAAATAGACATTATTATTGCTGTATGTATATAGGTGACTGTATGACCAATGTGATTCTGCAACCTGTACAATCAGAAAAATGAGAAATTATACCCCATTTGATTCAAATGTGTGAACTGTCAAGATCATTGTAATGTCATGTGTAGCTAGTAAAAAAAAAAAAAATCTCTAGAGATGGGAGTAAATAGAAAGGTCCAAAGTGGCAGCAGCATTGAGGAGTGTGTTGCCTTTTCCCATTTGATGATAGGCATATACTGTTGCTTCCCGTGGAGCTGTAAGGTCTTGTATGACTTTTAAGTATTAGATCCTTGATGACCTAATTTAAATAAAACACACTTCTTCAGTTTGGTATAAGTCCTTCACCATGTTGGGCTCTTAGTATAACATGAGGGTGCCACTTATTGTGTCAAGAGCAATACTTGTTATAATGTCAGCCTTTCCCTTGGAGATTATTCACCCATGTAGAAGATATAATACCAGAGGTATAAGTTATAAGCTACTGATTTTAGGTTCTTCGGACTCATTCCATGTGAATTAAGTTAAATTTAGCCAGTATTAGAGCAAGTTTGAAAGAAGAAGGATACCTTCTCTTCTAATTCTAGAAAGAAACATGAAAAGATTTGATTAGGGAAGGTTTTTTTGTGATGGAGAGTATAGATGAGTGGGGTCATCTGGCCCACAGAAGGTCCTAGCTAACAGACTTGATACATTGTAAGACTAAGAGGGAATGCTCCCCAGGAATTATATGATGAGGATTTTCAGGGAAGTTGTAGCCTTGTAGGGGATGCAGTGTTAGGCACTTGAAATAATTTAGAGAAAAAATATGTGTATTGCCATTGTTTCTAAACTTTTGTATAAAAGTTGTGTAAGGAGCTTTAAAAAAATATGTAGACTGCTGATGAGCCCCATCTTAGAAGCTTCAGAAATCCTATTTTTTTTAACAAAGTTTCTGGTGGTTCTGATTTAGTTAATTCTCAGAAATGTGCTTAAAAAGAATCAAAGTACGGTAAACTAATAAACTAAATGTAATAAAACCTTGAAGGCTGAAATATCTGAAATTTATTCATTTACTGAACAAACATGTCTAAGCATCTGTTTTGTGCTAGGAATTATGCTATTTTCTAGGGCTACAAAGATGAATAATACATCGTTTCTGCTCTCAAGCTTTGACTCTAAAAGAAGAGAGATCAGGAGACAAGACAGTGTGGTCAGTGAAAAGATAGAAATATATAGGATGTTATGGAAGCAAATAGAAGGAGGAGCTAACCTGTCCTGATTGGTTTGTAGAGGAGGGAGGCAAGATCAGAAAAACTTTATGGAAGTAGCTGAGCTCTTCTATAACTTATTCCTTATACCATCATGTATTACCTTCAATTGTTTTTCTTAGAAATCTTTCTAAAATGTGTTATATATTTCTGTTTCCTTAAACAGAACTCACATAATGTATCCTTTCTATTGATTATTTGGCAGGATCAATGTTATCACATTTCCATATAGCAAAATAATATACCTTTTACTTCAGAATACAAGATTAATTTTTATTATCCAAAATGGTCCCCAACTACATTTTTGCTATTCTCATTTTTCCTGTCCAGTATTGTCTTTGGCATCAGTCTGATTCTGGTTTTCTTAGTGTCAATGTGGCTGTCTTTAGAGTACTACATTTACTTAAGCTTTTCCTTGGCCAAAATAATTCAGACCAAAAAACTGTGAATAAAGTAAAAGTATAAAGTATTCTATTGGATATGTGAGTTTTAGTCTATTTTAACTCCTAAGTTGTTTTTTTTTATTATTCAAAGCTAGTGGATACTTTAGAAATCATATAATACAACTCCTTCATTATATATACAAAGAAACTGAAGCAAAATATATCACAGTTCCATTGCAATCAAAAAGTAGAATCTAGGCCCCCTGATAATAGAAAGGTTGATTCTATAAAATAAGCCATTCTTTTTTTTAATAAAGTTTCTTTTTTTAACTTTGTTTTATTTATTTATATTTGATGCTGAGGATTGAACCCAGGGCCTTGCACGTGCGAGGCGAGCGCTCTACCGCTGAGCCATAACCCCAGCCCTAAAATAAGACATTCTTAACTAGAGAGTTACAGCAGAACTATTTGGAGAATTATTCAAAATATGCCTTCTTAGGACTCACCCCAATGATCCTAATTCAGTAAGTCTAGCATATATATTTTTAAATTAAAAAATTCTTGGAAGATTCTGATATGTACTCCTGAACCACCACACTTTAATTTGGCACCATATGTCAGAATTTGTTTCTGAGTGGTTAAATAGGCATTAAAAGTCTAAATCATGAGAAAGAAACTTAGGAGTTTACTGTGAGTGAAAAAGTCATTAGAGAGTTTTGTGCAGAAAGGTAATATGATCTAAATTTGACTTTTAAAGGATTCCTCTACTGTGTGGAAAACAAATGGGGGATGGGTGAGATACCTCTAGTGGAGATATAGGTCAGGATACAGTATATTAGCTCAGGCAAAGAGATGTATAGAGACTTTGACCTGAGTCATAATAGAGGATGTAGTGAATAATGAATAGATCTGGGACATATTTTTAAAGTCAAAGCAACAGGATTTACTGACAAATCAGATGCACAGTATGAAAGGAGTCAAAGATCATTCATTCTTAAGTTTGTGACCCAAATTGGAAAGATGGAATTGCCTTTTTCTGAAACAGAAAACTGCAAGAGAAGTAAGTTTGGGAATGAGATTGGGAAATTATTTTTGGATATGTTAAATTTGAATTGTCTTTTAGACGCCCAGATTATAGTTTGGTGAAATTGGTAGTCTGAAGTTCCCAGATGAATATAAACTTGAAATTCCTCAACATAAAGATGACATTTAAGATCATAAGAGTAGATGAAATTGCCAAGAAAATGAATGTTGATAGAGAAGATAAGAGGCTAAAGAATATTTCAACAATTGTAGGTCAGATAGGGAGAACCAAATGGAGACTAAGAAGAATTAACCAGGAAGGTGAGAAGAAAACCAGGAGGGTGTAAGAGCCTGGAAGCTTTAAGTAGTATCACAAAACACAGGAATGATTAGTTGTATCAAATGGTGGAATGCAATAAAAACTGTCACTTAACCTTTGGAGTTAGCCATGGTTAACCTTGACCAGGAATAGTTCAGTAGGGTAATGGGGCAAAAGTTTTACATAGGCACGAGTTCAAAAGAGAGTGAGAAAAAGAGTTCAGAATAGACACTCTTTGGAAGGTTATTCTGTGAAAAGGAATGGAAAAGTAGCATGGTAGCTGGAGGAGGTCTTGAAGTCAAAAGGTTATTTTGGAAAATTGGAAAAATTGCTGGGTGTGGTGGCACATACCTGTAATCCCAGCTACTCAAGAGACTGAGGCAGGGGGATAACAAGTTCAAGACCAGTTTGAGAAACTTAGTGAGACCCTGTCTCAAAAGAAAAAGGGCTGGGGATATAGCTCAGTGGTAGAGAAACCCCTAGGTTCAATCCCCAGTATGGGGGGAGGGGGGAGGAAGATAAGGAGGGAGGGAATGAAAGAGAAAAAAAGAGAAAAGAAAAATGGTATGTTATGCTGGTGTGAATTATCCAGAAAAGAAAAAATTGGAGAGAAAGGGGAGAATTGGTATAACTACATCTTTAAGTAAGAAACTGGGGATAGTATTTCATGCACAGAGGAGGATTTGGATTTATTCATAGGGATATGGTCTTCTACAAGAATAGTGGAAGGGAGAGCAGATGATATAGGTGCACATGCAGAGAGGTAGATAGAGATGGGAAGAGCAAGTTGTAGAAGTACTTTTTTAAAACATGATTCTATCATAGAAAGTGAGGATAGTAGCTCTTATTGAGTATGGGAAGAGTTATTTGAAGTTCAAAAAAGAAGGGAAAATATGAAATAGTTACCTGGGAGAAGAAAAGGGTAAATGAACCACAAGATTGATAGAAGGGCAGTTCCAAAGGCACACTTGAATTTAAAATGAATTCAGTCAGCTTGAATGTGAATTTTTCTAAACTCTACATTTAGGTAGCTGGGTCATAGACATGGAATAGGGGAAATAACCAGCAATGGGATTTTGTCAGAATACAATGTGAGAGGAAGGCAAAGAAGTAACTGTAAGGATAGATCATGGAATTTATGCTTAGTTAGGAAAGAATTAAAGCTGGAAGTAGAAGAGGGATCTGTGACAGATTTTAGAATCAATTAACCGTAGGGTCTTCTGGGGTCAAAGACTATTAGAATTGAAGTATTTGACAGAGTGAGCTTGAAAGATAGAAGGTGGTGATTTGAGAAGGACATGCTGAAATGAAATGTCCAGTGCTTTAAACTAAATGAAGTGCCTACTAGTTTGTTCAGTGGCTATAATAGTTATTTTAATTTATTAATTTGTTAGGTTCATGACTACAAAGAAGGAACCCCAGAAGAGAGGACCTACTATATAGAATTATGGGATGTTGGAGGCTCTGTGGGCAGTGCCAGCAGTGTGAAAAGCACAAGAGCAGTATTCTACAACTCTGTGAATGGTAAAGCGTCTTTATTTTTACCCTATTTTAATGGTCTGTGAATATATAATACCTTATATGAAATGCTAATGGCATGCCAGACTCAACTTAATTTGAGAAAGATTTAAAATACCACTTTTGACTTAAATATTCATATTACATTTCAACTTATGTTTCTAGATTCTAACCATGTGATTCAGAATAGTAAACATCTGCTTTGTCTAAGTCCTATTTATATTATTGACATAAACAAAATATTGAGAATTTAAATTTTATTTTGGGTACTTGACATAAAACAGAACTTTCAAAACACTGTCCCTGGGAATGCTGTTTCTCCAGTCAGTTGAGTGGAATCCTATAGTCTTAAGCCAGATATCCAGAGATGCAGATTTCTTTGATCTGCCCCTTAGAGAGAGACCTATATAATTTTAAAGAGCTGCCTGAGGGTGTTTTTAGGGATGCAGATGTTTCATCCAGTTATAAATATTCAAGTTTTAGAAGCAGACTTTCAGATGGAGGTGTGTAATAAAGGACATAATTGCAGTTCATGGAGTCCTTGTCAAATTCTGGCTACCCTACCTACCTAAGGCAAGTTACTCAGCCTCTCTGAGCCTCATTTCCTCAGATGTAGAAATATATAATAATACTTCATAGGATTGTTCCAAAAATTAAACTAGATAACATAATTTAAAAATCTGACACATAAGTGCTAAATAAACATTAACTATATTCTTTAATAGTAGTTCTTTTTTGTTTTTTGGTTTTTTCTCTGTGCTCTTGATGCCTGTGAGAACCTCTGTGAGGACAGTTAGATAGGGGGCACGTGTCAGATCTGTATTTGCTCAAGACAGCAGAAGTACAGGTTTATCTGAGCTGGTTGGAACAAATCTACTATACAAGCACCTTAGTCATACAGACAGCTGAAAAACTAGAGAAGCCAATTAATTCTGCTTCTTCTGTCCTTATTTTTCAAGTTGATGTATCCCATATTCAAAGATGGAGAAATCATTAATTTTACGTTCTCTTTTCACAGTAGAATCAGGCTAATATAGGAAAGGATTGAGAATTTTAAAACCTGTAGTTTTGACCACAAGAGACTAAGCATTAAAGCCTTTCTTCTTTTATCTTTATCTTATTAAAATAATTACCTACTTTGCCTTTCTGTCTAGGATCTTAATTGATTCAGTTTAATTATATGTCTGAACCGTATTACATTTTGTTATTTTTCTCAATGTCTCAAAAGTTATAGATATTTTATACTATTTATGTGCTTGATTATCTCTTCCTACTCTTTCCTGGTGGCATATTTCTTTTGTCTATTAACTAAATCTCTTATGGGTAGCAAGCTTACATAGCTAACCATTAATTCCAAGAACTAGAAAGTGTTAAGTTGATCAAGCCCAAATATCTTTAGGGCTGCATTTTGTCTGCTAAGGAAAAGTGTTTGTGCAAATTAAATCAATACCACTTTACTACATTCTTATTGTATTTTTAGTGAGTATAAGTAATATGTTTGTACTGATATCTGTTGCAGGACTATATACAGTGCAGAAACAATGTAACTTTGAATGAATATGGTTTCTAATTATACTTTAGTTTTGATGCTCTTGATTGATAAAGTGGTTCTGCAAGTAGGATCAGACATAGAGTAGGCACTCAGGAAGTGTTGAATGCAAAATAGGAAAAGACATTAGAGATATTTAAAGATATTTTTCCAGCCCTTCTAGAATTTTTTTCATTATATAACTGACAGTTTTATAGCTAATTATTTCTAAGTATTTGTACAGAAAATTTTTTAATTGTTTGAGATTGTTAGTCATACTATAATATTAGATTGATTAAACCACGTAATGTTTGGACTTACTAAGCTTAATTTTGTCAATTGCAATATGAAGAAGAGTTGTTTACAATACTAAGATTATTATCTCTGATTATTTTAGGTATTATTTTAGTACATGACTTAACAAATAAGAAGTCATCCCAAAACTTGTATCGTTGGTCTTTGGAAGCTCTCAATAGAGATTTAGTGCCAACTGGAGTTTTAGTGACAAATGGGTAAGCTTGGAATTACTTTACAGTTGGTTTGAAATGTTATAACAATCATTTTTTATTTGCAAATTTTCTCCTAGTCTATAGATTATCTTTTCATTCTCATTCACTCTTTGTGTGTGTGTGTGTGTGTGTGTGTATATGTGTGTATGTCTGTCTGGGTGTGTGTTGTGTCTCTCTCTCTCTCTCTCTCTCTCTCTCTCTCTCTCTCTCTCTCT